CGAGACTTTTCCTGTTGTGGAGTCTGGAGATGATAATATATACGTGTTCTTTTCTCCACGTGTGGAGATTGTTTTGATTACTCGAACCCTTTACCCTCGTATCACAATGGAGTAACCATCCTGTTACACCAAAGCCCCCCTCATTGAAATAAACAGATGCAAATTCGTAAGTTTGAACTTTTAACTAAATGTCACATATTACATAGTGCAATGATGGTTAGCTTACTGCAGCTAACAAACTAATCCCACTAGTCATCAGGTCCGTTAACAAGTTGGTTGCCTTCTCCGAAAATTATACTTATCCAAACCAGCTAGCCATTTGCTAATACCATAGCCATAACATACTGTGCCACCATCGGATCAAATGGTTACGAGTGCAGTCCTATATGTAACAGTCAAAAGTACAGTAATAGAATAATTCAAGTGGTCCTGATCCATCTACTTGCACCCTATTGTATTGGATCAAAAGGTGCAGTAACGATGGGGTGCTTCTGATCCATCTACTTGCACCCTATTGTCTTGATTGAGAAAGGTCGTTGCAATATATATAAATCATTTTTTTTTAGCTAAACTACTATAAGGGAACGTATAGCCCTTTAGGGGTGAATTGTGATAGCCAAAAGTCTAGTCATCCAATAATTAGAGAGGCCCAAAGAAAGAGTAAGATGAAAAGGTTGGAAAGCATCTATTTCATGATCTGTTCCACATCATCTAATGAGAGAAGGTCACTATGATATTGTTTGTCATATTTTGGATTACGGGCATGCAAAAGTCTAAATGGACTTAAGATTTCATCACTTATGACCTTACCTATTAAAACTGGAGTGAAGTTCTGAAATCATGATTGTTCAGGCAATTGAAACGAGATGTATGGCTACCTTTAGATTTTTTTCTATGCCTAGGAGATCAAGTACTTAAACTACTCCCTCTAGGAGCAAGCTAACAAACTTGGAGTTGAAAATAAACTAGAATTGAAAGACTAGGAAAGTAAACAAAAAAGAAGAATCGTTACATTAACTACTAAACTTAAAATTGAACGAAAGAAGTCACTGAAGTGACGACAAAGGAATTATAGAGTAAAAAGCATAAACTTAAACAATGCAGAGAGAGACTCTAGTATGCTACTTATTTGTGTGTGTTTGATTGCATTGTATGTACCTCTGTATTTATAGGTTGTGGTTTTTAACCATTGTAGCCATCTTTTTTGCCACTAAACTAGCACTCATGGCCTCCCTCTTTGACGACTAAGAACGTGTTTCAAAACCGTCTGCAACTAATGACTCTATGATGTCACGTTTGCCTCAGCTCTTCGCATTCTGAGATCCTAGGAGATTATTTCTCATAACTGCCTTATCTCCGTTGGATCTTTTTTGACTCAATTCTGGCCGTTAGATCTTACTGCATGTCATTCTTAGGTTTTTAATATTTGGGTGTAAACATTGCCCCCTCCCTACCCCTAAATGATGCGACATTATGCTTTCTCTTTGGAGTGTCATTTTGGTTCCTCAAATTTGAATGGTTGCCACATTAATCCCTCCGCTTAGCTATCACCTTAGGGTTGGTCATACTACACTGCGTATGAGGCTCAGCTTCCACGAGTAGACTCTCTGCCTTCTTCTGTCTTTTCAAATCTGCATCCTTCATGGAGGATATTGTTATTTGGCGGGAGAAGGCACCCGAGTTTGTAATACCTTTTTTATTCTCTGATATTCCTTATGAATAATACAACCATTGATTTCTCTCAAAAAAAAAGTGACAATCATTATATATACGTGTCAATTAAATATCTCAGGATCAAGATTTTAAGCAATCATAATAACTTGACGTATTTATTTTCTTATTTAGTTAGTAAAAAATAAATCACCTCAATAATGGTCATATCTAATACAAAAAGTGTAATAGAAAAACAATCTAAGACATCTGACAGTTTCGTATAGCCAAGACAAACTATGTCAAAAGATTGCACTACAATCCTACTAATGGTGTGTCTAATTCCATCAAAAATTTTAAACCTTTATTCATATCATATAAGGATCCAATAATCTAATTTTTGTGTATAAGTCAAGCTCTACACGCCAGATTATCTACAATATAAAATAAAAGATATACATGCATAACATATATTTAATATAATTCAAACATTTTACCCATATAAATTTTCAATAGAAAATAAAGAACTTTTATCAAATAATAAACTGAGTTTCATTACAAAAAGCGAGTTTTTAGTATATAATCAAATGGAACAAACGAACCCAACTGAAAATACGAGTTTGACATCTCTAAGGCCGATCAGACTTTTGATCATCTGTTAGCAAACGAAATTATCAAGTTGTCTTATGGCCATAAAATTCCCCGGTTGTAGAACTCAAAGGAAAAATGTGCTGCAAGTGACACAACTTGTGGAGTCACTCTACCACCAACTACGTGGTGTTCCAAAACACCATCCAAGAAGGCCTGAATAAAGGCCATTTAATGTTCGACGATAAGACAAAGCCAGAAATAGCAGTCGATAATAAACTCTTTTAGAAGAGTGTCACCACCAACATGGTGGAGCTACGCCAATCAAAGTCTTCAAGGAAGAAAGTTGACCTCGGAAATGACATTGATAATAGTGTAGAGACGCCCAATGGTGAGAGAGGGGCCTCTCCAATGTAGGACTTGTTTGATGGCGATCCTTAGAGTAAGTTCAGATACAAAATTAAGTCTAATAGGGTATATATGGATAGGCTAGGCAAATTATGGCAATGATGAAAGATAGGATCATATCTGAAATATGACCAACCTTGGATCTTCAAATTACAACGTATGTCTTTAAAACTTAGTAGATTTCTGTTGGATCTATTAGGGTATAATGCATTTTCAATAAAAAATTTTGTTCTTTAGGGTAGCATCATATTTGCTCTGCCAGAGCCTTCAATCAAGTCTGCAAAACTTAATATTGAATTAAAGCTTTAGGTAATGTTTGTTTAGAGATATTTTCTGTCACGAAGAATTGTGTGAGTTGTAGTACTATCCACTAAGCATATATCTTCATCGTTCATCTTAGAGTTAACCAATGAATTATCATAATACATGCCTCTATATGAAAAATACACACTTGATTTATTAATACATAGACATTACTCAAACTATTACATTATGGAAATAATAAATAGCAAACATAAGCAAAACTAACATACATACACACAAATTATTGCTTTAATTTATTTTTTTCATTTCATTTTTGTTTGGGTTCACAAAGAAATCATAAACATCCGTATTAGAAAAATTGGATGGATAATTGATGAGGGTGGTGCCTAATGTCCCCTCACCAAAATTCATCTCTATCAATTTTTATTTTCCTTCAATGGATTTTTGATAGAGAACTACCAAATATTTCAGCGTATGGCAACACAACCAGTGTCATTTCATTCTATATCTATAACAACTATTTTCAGTCTTTTTAAAGAGTTTATTAGGTAAACTTTTTTCTTTCTTTTCTTTGCTCTTATTATACCACTTCTGGTGTTGTGGATGGTTGTTCCACTTCTAGTGGTATAGGACATTTCTCCATTTTCTGACTTGGTGTGAAGGACTTTCAAGCATCCACGGTAACCCTTGCAAAAATAATTGTTTTTATTTTTGCCACGCCCTCGTCCTTGGCCACAAGAAGATATAACATTTACTTCTAGAAAAGCTTGGTGGCCAGTTGGACGAGCCTCATGGTTCCTCATTAGTAATTCATCATTCTCCTCGGCAAACAAAAGACATGCTATAAGTTCACTATATGTCTTCAACTCATGTTTGTCAATATTATTGTTGCAATAGAATGTTTGACGCATGGAATGTAGAGTATTTCTTCTCCAATTTTTCTAAATCTAGTACAAACTGACCACACAAATTTCAATTTAACAGTGATTCTATGTATTACTGAATTATATTTGTATATAGTCTTAAAGTCTTGGAATCGTAGGTTAAACCATTCATGTATAGCTTTTGAAATGATGATGGTTTTTTTTTTATTAAACCTAACCTTAAATTTTTTTTCACAACTCTAAAGAATCTTTAATAGTGATGTATTCATTTTTTAATCCTTCTTAGATGTGACGATGAAGAAAAATCAATAACTTTGCGTGATTCTTAGAAGTTTGCGAGTTTTTATCCTTTATGTTATCTCTAAGATTTTCTGAATTAAGATAAAGCTCAACATCTAGAGCTTATGACATGTCGTTGTACCTCAAAATGTTTAGGCCTGAAAATTCTAACTTCGCAATGTTGGCAATTTGAAAAAGCTTTCAAATATAGAAAATTATTCGACAATAACTCGATTGACTAACTTCCGTACTGATTACGTGTGATAAAACCAACAAATTAATGTAGGTATAAATAACTAATTCAAACAAACAAAGTAAGAGAGAAAATATAATACTAAAAATGATATAAGGATATAGATATATATTTCATTCAGTGTATTGTTCATTCAAAAGTGGAAGACCAATTTATAGGCAAAATACATAGCTATATTGCACTATCGGTAGGAGTGCAATTACACAGACATAAATATATTGGTGGATGACCATCTTCCACCCATGTGTCAATATCATTTACAACACTATTTGGTACTATGTATTATTATTTGTGTATAGTAGCCATCCATATTATATACAATATTTATAACATAATTGAAAAATATTTACCTTATGTTGAATAATGACTCATTTTGAGATAAGCCCGTTAACACTGTTCGCCTAATATGTTTGCTAATGGATGGATGTCAATGTAATTTATGAAAATACATGGAATACCTTTATAATTAAGCCTAACTTCAAGGGGTAGTGGAATTTTTTAATCTAATCATCGGTTGACTGTTTTACTGTTCTTATTCATGGAGAGTGCATCACATGACCAAAACCAGTGATGTCTTCGGAAGGAAAGTAATGATACACCATGCCAAACACTTAAAGAAGCCTGTTTATTATTTTTCCAACCAATGTAAAATTTGATGTAGATTATCTTCAATCCTAGGCTCCGGATCCAGCCAGACGCCGCCTGGTGGCATTTGAAACGGACACCTGACCAAGTTTCTCTGCCTGAGGCGATACCATCCGTTCACTGAGTGGCATATAATGCCTCAACCACACGCCAGTGTAGACCTGGATGATCATACAAAAATAAAACATGAAGATACAGCAGTACAATAAGCTGAATTAATAGAAAGCTGTAGAGAGTTGTCATGTATACCACTTCCGCTATCAATTCAAAAACTAAATAAATAAATACTATGCAGAAATAAAACACTGGAAGAAATTAGAATCTGTCCACATCAAATTTAGGATCCTGAAGACCTTAAATCAGAAGTCACAGATACTATTCTCAGATGGTATATATCCTGATAATATATCAATATCCAGATCATTAATGTTAAATTAGATTCAGATAACTCATTTTTCAGGTGTACCGCACATGGTGCATCGTGGTGACAAAAAAGTTCAAATCCTCCATCAGAAAACCAATAAAAAGCACAGAAATAGTAGGATATCTATTCCATATAAATTTGCTTGAATTTCTTCTTATGTACAACAATATATCTATTGCACTCCTAAGGGGTACGGGAAGGAACCACCCCAAGTTGTGCTGGGATACACAACTCCTTAACCACTCTGGAAAACTTACTTTGCTTGTCTTAGATATCAACGGAGTCATATCCTGAATCTGTGAGAGTCATAACAAAAGATGCAACTATCCTAGAAAGGTACACCCCTATTTTATCAGTACAAAAATTTTCAGACACATTCTTCAGAAGCAAAGCTTGATAGAAATAATCACAATGACTGCTTTACATGTAAATTTTTAGTTTGATGTCCTCACTAAGTCACTCAAAGAAGTCACAAGCATTTGCAAGGAGATTAAAATTCTAGAAAAATCATTTATACAAGGCATACGACAGAGGACCCAAAATGAAGTAAGAAATTCACCTGAGCTGGCCTCATTATTTTCGTATCAGGATCATCCAGGGACTCTCGCCAGTGTGATAAGTAGCCAGCCATCCGAGGAATTGCGAACAAAACAGGAAAGAACTCCGTTGGGAAGCCCATTGCCCTAATTAAAATAAATACAATAAGTTGTTTAACATTTCTTGAACTTGGATATGGAAAATATATAATATCTTTCACATACCTATAAATTAACCCAGAGTAGAAATCAACATTTGGATACAATTTCCTCTTAACAAAATACTCATCTGACAGTGCAGCAGTCTCCAAAGCAATAGCCACCTACACATGGTATAAGATCATATAAATAGGGGCAGAGTAGCAGCAACTGGAACCAAAACTGTTCAAATTTACAAACCTATGTGGACAACTGACTTAGGAAGAAAATATTTATCAGTGGTTTATTATTGAATTTATTTGTTGAGAATTGAGGTGTACATCTTAATAGACCCAATGGAGTAGGGTCCAACCACCCTGTCATCAATAACCACAGTGCCAGACGAAGAGAAGGCAAATAATGGACCTGTATTCCTTCACTAAAAGTGGATCCTAATCTTCTCTAACACATGATGTACAATGTCGAAGCCTCGCATTGCTTTTGTGCTTGATTAAATTCTTTATTGCTCTCAGGGCTGTTCTTGTGGTTTGTTATAACAAAACCCTTAACGTACCTTACCCTTGTTCATTAAAACGACACATCTCGGGTGAGCATGTGTCCATCCCTAAGAATATTGCAATTTGGACAATAGGAATATTTGCATTCAATCCAGTATAGGCATGGATATAGCTCCATTTTGCAAATATTTACACTATTTTCTGGCAATAATGCAATAGGACTCACCAGCAAAGATGGTGGACAACTATATATAAACATGAAACGGTGAGCAGCATTCATTTGTAAGATAAACATGAGCAAGTGTGCAAAACCCACCTCAATGAGAGGATCCCGGCCAACAATTGAAAATACTTCCTCAGCCAGTTTTTTTATGACCTTCGCTCTGGGATCATAATTTTTGTATACACGATGGCCAAAACCTGACATCTTTCGCTTCCTAGAGGAATGAAGTTGTAAAAGAACATGGATCATAACCATGAAATACTACAAAAAGTTATTGAATAAATAGGAAAAATCTGCCTGCCCCAAACCGTATAAGCAATATACTAACTTGTTCTTCACGCCCTCGATAAACTCTGGGATATTGTCAATTGTTCCAATCTCACTCAGCATCTTAAGCACCGCCTGGGAAACAAAAGCAAGCTTAGCTATATGTAACTCCGGATAACATTTAAGGTGGAGATATACGATATTAAAATCCACAAGATCAGCTCTAAACTTTTGATCCAAGTAGCTAACTATTTATGCTCTCAAATGTAGACTTAACACTTCAGTGTTGCTGCTCAGATATGTGAAATTTCAACATACCTCATTTGCTCCACCATGAAGAGGACCATACAGAGCTCCAACAGCTCCAGCAAGAGCGGTGTACACGTCAACACCACTGCACATAAGACGTCAGTTAAGTGAAGCAAGATAGCAGGGCAGGGCTGTTCCACTTTAATTAGACACTAAGATGCCTACCTTGATGAAAGGTGCCGGGCAGCAGCTGTGGAGCAATTCATTTCGTGTTCTGCATGTAATATAAACAAAATGTCGAGAACACGAGCCAATCGAGGATTGGGTTTATAAGAACTATTGCCCCTGCAAGTTTGCAAAGAGAAATCACATTCAGAATAGAGGCCAAAATCCACTTCTGATAGAAGTATCATTCTACCAATTAGAATGAGGATGGTTCATGTGTGATTCTGAAAAGCCAGTTATTCCGCTGCCATAGTGCTCTTGTTCACAGAGGTCAAAGTACAGTGGCATGTTGGCATCTTTTCTACTTACTAAGTTTGGGAGTGCCCGTCAAAGGGTATTTGGGAGCAAAATAGCGCTACCCTAAAGAATCAGGGAAATTACATTGAAACACAAGATATAAAATGATATTTGTGAAATGACAACAAAAAAAAAACCGTTATTGGAGTTTTCTTCAATGAATAACCATTTCAATTGTATTGAATTTAAAAAAATCCAACAAAAATAAGGGCCAATGTAAAATTCAAAACTTAATTTTTATTTATAACTAAAAAAGGGTGTCACTATTACACAACACACAAAATTCACAGGGTGTTCCATGCCATTTTAGGAAATGTCAGGGCCTTCATGTAATTTTACCAAAACTCATGAGATGTCAATCTAATACACCCAAAAAGAATTACATTGTAGAGTAATCCATCATGCTAAATTTTTTTTTTTAAACATATCATGCTAAATAGTTCAAAGGAGCAAAAAAATATACAATGAATCTAGCATGTATAAGAAGTTCTCGGAATAAGAAAAATTGTTGGAGGGAAGAACAGGCGGCCTTCCTGCCATCCTCAAATAAGCTGCTGCTGCAATGGTCGGTGCCTGCACACATTTTTAGAATTGGGCTCTTAGCTGTGATAACAAGATAGACTGAAAGTAGGCAACTAGAAGGAGTGTCCCAGAAGCAGAACCAAAATTACAACAGCTAGGTTCATCGATTAACACCTTGGGAAGCTAACAAAGCATAATAAGATCAGGAATACAAGCAAACCTTTCCAAGAATGCGCACTATTTGTTTCTCTCTCACTTGTTTAGAGTTGTATAAGTCCTGCCCCTACATCAAAAAAATAAATAAATAAATAAGTAACATGAGATATATGTGAAACTTTGGAGCACCAGTGATACAATTTACATTCAAACTTTAGTACTTAAGAACCTCGTCAAAAACAGATGTACAAAGGCAACTAGGATATGCCCCCACCAAAGTCAGCCGAACGAGGAAGGACAATGGGAGATGGTTTAGTTCTTGGATGGCTCTTATGACTAAAGGAATATAAAACAACAAAACAGAAGAACATGCAATAGTGGACAAACTTCGATACTTTCTTGGTTTCGAAGTTAATAGGTCTAAGCAGGGTATTAACTTGTCCCAGTACTTTATATGCTTGAAAAGATGGGCTTACTCAATGGCAAACCATTTGATATTCCTATGGATCTAAATCAGAAACTTCTGGTGGATAAAGGTGCACCATTTGAAAATCCATGTAGATATCGCAGGTTGGTTGACAAGTTAAATTATCTCGCTAGATATTGCATGATTAGTGAGCATTGTGAGTCAATTTGCACCTATAGTACCTCATTGAGATGTTATTTTTTGGATTCTTCAATACCTTAAACGAACCCCGAGGCTTAGATTGTTGTATCAACCTTGTGGACCTCTTAAAGTGTAAGGTTTTACAAATGATGATTGGGTTGGATCTCCCTCGGATCGGAGATCAACTACTAGATATTGTACCTTCTTAGGAGGTAATTTGATTTCATAAAAGAACAAGAAACAAACTGTGGTAGTCCAGTCTAGTGTAGAAGTTGAGTATTGGGCAATGATATACACGACCAGCGAGTTAACATGATTGCAACACTTTCCTCAAGAAATTAGTTTCCCAGTTAAAACACATATTCAATTGTTTTGTGATAATCAAGTTGCGTTTTATATAGTTGTCAATTCGGTGTTTTATGGGAGTACTAAACATATCAAAGTGAATTGTCATTTCATTCGAGATAAAATACAAAATGAAGATATTGCCACACCGTTTGTGAAATCCGAAGACCAAGTTGCAGCTATGTTCACTAAAGCTTTGTGTCATAGTCATTTGGCTGTCATTTATACCAAGCTTGGACTATGATAGCTTCAGGGTGAGTGTTAAGTATACATATACTATATTATAATAATTTGTCTCTATAATAGGTATACCACTTACGTGTATACTAGCCCTTTTCTATTCTTTCGTTATTTATGTATATGAATCAGGGGTGAAAGGTAGGGTTAACAATTCTCTTTCTTACCTCTCACATGGTTTCTCCATAATTCTTCTCTTCTAGTTTTCTAAACTGCACATTAATAAATTATTTTCTTTTCTTTTTTGTTGATTTGAGGTGGGGGGTGGGGGGTGGGGAAGAATGGTTCCTCCCCATAATGATTCTTAGGCAGAATATACAAGTCAATTATGCATTCCAACAAAAGGAGTTCAAATAGAGTTTTCCCTTTTATACATGAGTTACATTTCTATTTGTTGTCATCTGTGAATCACTTAAGGAAAAAAATTGGAAAAAAAATACTTATCATGTAAAAATGATTTGAGTTTTTCAGAAAATAAACTATACTGCCTACATATTAGTTAT